TGATGATGCTGGTGATGTTGGTGATGTTGGTGATGTTGGTGATGCTGATGATGACGATCATGATGATGATGGCGACGATGATGACGATGGTGGTGGTGGTGGTCGTGATGGTGATGGTGTCGTCATTGTTGTTGCTGCTACTCCCGCGGTTCTACGCGTGATCCTGCACAACTCAAACCACAAGACCCCAATCCCTCCACAAGCCCGAGACTCGATGCAGCCGATGCCATCGGCGGCTTCCAAACTTAAGGTAAACTGCGGTAAGCCTGGCAGAAAGCTTGCTCTTTGGATCCCAGCGCTAGGCCTCGGCGACACGCCCGGCAGCCGCCATTGCTAGGCCGCATTGAGTGTAGACCTTCGTACCGGCTTAGGGCTTAGGATTTATGATTGAGATGGATTCAGCGTTCGGGCCAGGCTTCGGTTTCGGGTGTTTGGTGTGCTGCCGGTCTTCGGACGAGCTTCCACCTTGGACCGTACATCCTACGGCACTATACATCAATAAAGATTAACCTATCCCGAGTCAACCTGAGTGGCCACCCCGACAATACCAACAAATGAATACTATTGAATACTCGAAGCTGACCCAACCTTAAGTCGACTAAGAGAAGAGTAGCAAAGCTGAGTAGTAGAGCTATCATCCAAAAGAGACTCACCGCCATCGTCGTCACCGTCACCGCGACCAACACCGCCAAATCACCATCACCATCATCATCAGCATCACCATCATCACTTCATGATTACAGTATCACGGTCCTTGCACCTGAAGAAATGATCTGGTTCGAGGGCCCATGCAGGGGGCTGATGGTTTCGAAAAACTAAAGGGACCCAAGCTTAGGGTTTAGGGCTGAGGACCTCTGGACTCGCGCAGGTTCAGCTAATATAGGGGCCTTAATAATTCGAATAGGGTTTTGGGGGTATCTTATACGATAATAATAAGAAGGAGCCGCCAACATAATGTAGGTAATTTTCTAGGCCTCCATATCACCTAGGACTCATCGGCTTTAAATACACTCTTCTACAGCTACTTAGGGCCTGACTTGACTTAGGGGCTGCGAAGGAGGGATACTAACTAACTGCAATGTGTCGGGGCTCGCGCACGCAACCAAAACCCTAAACCCTGTCACCCGCTCAACCCTGAACCGTACACCGTAACCGTGAGAACACTACACCCTGCAACCAGAACCCCTAACAACCTTCGACCCCTTCGCCCCAAAAGCAAAACATCTTCTGAAAGGCTGAAACATCCTAAAACCTTCACACCCGAACACCTCAAAGTCCTGCCTGAGCTGCAACGCCCTGAGAGGTGGGATCCAGAGACTCCACAACCCCTCAACTAAGGAATGTACCTTGAGTTATAATCGGAACCCTAATATGATCTAAGGTATGTTCCTTAAATCGTATTAGGGTTCCTACTATAACCTTAAAGTACATTCCCTAATTCAGGGGTTTGGGAGTCCTTGGGGAGCCGGAGCCCGGACCTCGGCATCCAGTTTCTGGCCGGCGCGCTCCATCTCCTGCAAAGGTAGCGGGCTTAGGGTTGTCTAAGGCTTGCCATAGGAGTTTTAGTATAAAGGTTACTATAAGGAATGCTATATGGGTTACGATCAAGGCTCTTTACGGGTTTAGGGTTTAGGGCCTTTTGCTTTTGGTTTTGCGGGCTTTCGGGTTTAGGGATGCTCCGCTTCTGTCAAGACATCAAGAAGAAACTTAAGAAGAAACATCACTATGCATTCCAACCCTTCCACTCATAACAACCCTTTTAGAAATCCTTATAGTAACCCTTAGGCTCTAAGGTTCATGGGTTCAGAGTTTAGGAGTTTGGAGTTTAGGGTTTAGGGTGTGGCTACCCCGATTCTGGTTTAGGGTTTAGGGTTTAGGGTAGGGCTAGCCCCAAAAAACCCTAGTTCCCATACCCGTGTAGTTTTAGCTAGCGGTTTGCGTTCGAGGCAAGGCAGATCTTGTGAAAAAGCTGCCTATGGCACGCTTACGAAAAGAGCTACAGCAAACCACAACCCTGCTTACTGGTATTACTATTACGATCGTTACTATTACGATTACGACTCCTCTTACTTTTCCTACTATTCCTACTATTCTTGTTGTTCCTATTTTTCCTGTTATTCCTATTATTCGTATTACTGATATTGTTACATGATTTGAACTGCTCATGACCCAAGTCCAAGTCGACTTGAAGCAAACCGACTTTGGGTTCAGGCTTGAAGGTACACTCCGAAACCCCAAGCACCCCACATCCTCCCCCTCAAACAAGAATAAGAACAAATAGCAGCCTTCACGCTAAACCCCCAAGACCCAAATCCTAAACCTCAAACCCTAAACCCTAAACCCTAAATCAAAAAACAAAAACCGTTGAAGAGCCTGAACGAACTGAACAGCCCGAAGCCTCAAAACCTTAACCACTAGACCCTACAGTCCCAAACGCCCTCCACCCGCAGTCCGGAGAGCCCAATAACCCCTTCTTCAGGGAAGATACCTTAAACTATAGAGGCCTTAAGGAGTATGGCTGAAGGTCTATTCCTTAATTAAGGCTAAGGGGCCCCTTGAGGCGCTCTTAGCGTAACTACCTTAAACCCTAAACCTTAAACCCTAAACCCTAAACCCTAAACCCTGAACCCTGAACCCTAAACCCTAAACCCCCAACCCTGAACCCTAAAACCCNNACCCTAAACCCTAAACCCTCTTTTACCGTATAGATTTAAGGTCTAATTAGCAACTTGGTCATTTTTTAAGGTCGTTTCCAAACGCAGGTTGGTCAAAATTTAAGGTCGTTTCTAAACCAGGTT